TCGGGGTATTCCACAAAAAATTACCCTGCGGGATGAAATATTCCTCGGGCTTCGCCCTCGGAATATTTCATCCCTCAGGGTAATTTTTTGTGGAATACCCCTCGTTTCAGGTCTATAACTGATAAAAATTACCGATATGGATATCCATGCATCACTATTTTGCAGTCCGGCGATCTTCTTTGTAACCTACAGTTATATTTAATAAATGACCGTATAGACGGCCGGTATAGTATATACATGAAGACCATATATAAGTCAAATGTCATATTATTTCATTAAATGGGTAACGATACTCCGCAGTTCCATATATAGCTCTGAAACCATATTATGCCATTGCCGGTTATAAAAATTTGACTATATATCTAGTCGATAGCACTATTCAGCTTTCGTACACGTGGCCCTTGGCCTTGAGCCATATTCCTATTGAAGAATTACAGTAATTAATTTATCTGTCTATAAGATTATAAACATCCAAATATTTGAGCTTTATGGGGCGTGAAGTTGAACTGTTTCATCCACACTTGGTTATAATATTTATAAACCGATCTGCCGATATCAAAAACCTGGCCTTAACGCGCTCTAAGACTATGTATATTTGGGAAAGCCTCAGAAGAAAAAAAAACACGCATTCCAAAGGGAGAAAGGTAAATATATGGAAATATTTTGCTTGGAACCCACGGCATTTTCTCAGGACCCACGACTTCTTATTCGAGACCCCCGACTTTTTTCTCGGGACTCACGACTTTTTTCTAGGGACCCACGACTTTTTACCCACGACTCACGACTTTTTACCCACGACCCATGACTTTTTACCCACGACCCACGACTTTTTACCCACGACATTCTACCCACGACCCACGACATTCTACCCACGACCCACGACATTCTACCCACGACCCACGACTGTTAGCTAGTCCCGTTATAACAAGGCGAGATCTTGGTGACCGGGATAATGTTTTTCCCATATCACATTTGAACACAACTTGATGTTCAGTGCTACGTCACAGCCGGAAACTTAACCCAGTAAGCGGGATAACGTTTCTCCGTATGAACAGAACAAAAGTATTTGGCTAGTCGAAATGTTTCCCTTTTGCCCATATGAACAGGCCCTAAGTTTTTTCAGCGTTTGACGTCATTATATAGAAAGGTCTATTGCTTCGTTCTTTACAAAAAATCTCTTGAACACTCTGTGCGCTGACTTATAACCTCCGGGACACGATTTTGACGAACCTAATGTTCCCAGGAATGTACGTACAAATGAAAAGATTAAAATAACTACTGAATATGACTCATGCATGAATGTTTATAAAATCTCATCAATTTGTTGTGCAAATCGGCTAAGCAGCTAGAAGGTACGAATCTCCAACTTACTTTATATTATTCTTTAACTGTTTACAGTAAGATTAATAGTTTTTGCTAAAAACGGTTGATCCGGCGCTGACAAAGACTTGTCATAAATCAAACATTTGATCAACTAGTGTTTTAGTGAATTGATTTACAGGAGTAAGAATACACATGTTTAGAGGAAAGAACAATATTAGAATTGAAATTGAGTAGTGTTCAAAAATAAAGAAAATTAATTATTCTGTTTTGGCGAAATTCATGCACATCACGTTTGTGTGAAAGAAACTATACGCAACATCTGCACACGTTTACATTTTGGGCGATTTGTATTTGTTCTTCAATAATGCAGTCTGCAGCAAAAAGAGGTTTATGTCAAACTTTTAGGCGCCTTCAGATAAGCAAACATGCAAGAAATGTTCAGTTAGCAAACAAACAGCGGAATAATAATAGTACTATAGCTTTGAATAATAGGGATTAGCCACCTCCGCAGGCGTCTCATAATTTCTTAATTTCTTTCAAATGGATATACAATCCATCTTTGTATGTCAAGAGACCATGACAGATTTTAAAATTACAATACACAAACATGCACATGTTTTCAATCATGTTAATCGACATATTCAATTAATTCATAATATCCTTCATAAGCGTTAAAATTCCCAAAATTCCAGACGGGGGGAGGGGAGGAGAGTGGTTCCACAGTTCGACTATTGTCTTAAATATTTCTTGCATTTTCGACTATTATCTTATATATCATTCCTTGCTTTCGAATTTATTTCCCCCCTATCTTTTTACCCAACTTAAATTTATAATTCGCCAAACTTTGTATACGCCTTCGCCCATTTAGTACTACTAAATGGTAAATTTCGACATACTAAAACGCTGTTTTCTGACCATCAGAATTCTGTCAAATCTTCCCCAAAGTCCAGGAAATGGCATTTCAGAGACTCTAAATTTAAAAATTTCCTCGGGCCTTCGGCCCTCGCTTTCAGCCCCCCCCCCAAATCGAAAAGAGCTTCCTACGGCCCTGCAATGGCAACAATGGTGACATAGTGTAGTGGCAACGCACAATTAATAGAAGACATTTAATGGCGTTCGTCGCGTGGACAACCTCTCAGTGTGCGTTCAACGTTTTAAGTAAGTGTTCATTATTTATACCCGGGGTTGGTACCGAAGAGAAATGGGTTGGGTAAGCCATTTTTCTGGGCTGAAGGGTTGGGTAAATATTTTTTGAACAATGCCTATGGTTGGGTAAATTATTTTCAATACAAACCTTCAATTGAACAAACCTTCATTTTTCACAAAGAAAACTAAACTCCAACTCCCCATCACCTCTGATTACAATAACGAGATATGGTAGGACTGCAGGAACTTGGAGGCTTGGGAACATAATATGAACTTGTGAAGGTACAAATGATTATATTTGACATTCAGTTAGTGCACCAAATATGCACAGTACTGTTTATACTATAGTGGCCTAGCTTGTAATTGTATAATAATATATATGTAAAATACTTGTATAATTTTGAAATTGGGTTGGGTAAAATAAAAATTTAAGTCATGCAATAGTTGGGTAGGGGAAAAAATGGTTGATCGAAAAGATGGGTGGTTGCTTTTTTCTCTTTTCGATTAGTTTCGGTACCAACCCCGGGTATAAATAATGAACACTCCCTAAAACCCTGGCAAGATCTCATAGAAGAACTGCAGTCGTAATTCGACATCATCAATTTATGTACAGCGGTAGTACATATAATGGTTTCGGGCGTTCTGGCAAAGTATTCGCGAAAGAAGTACCGCGGGCCACATCAATCTCGAGATTGAGGCCGCATATGAGAGCAAAATTATTAAAGAGCACCGCCCTCGAATAGGCGCCGCACTGGCAACAACGCGGCGCTTAATCAAAGCACCATCTGAAAAATTGTTCGTGACGCCCAACCGCGGCAGGAAAAGGCCCTGGGTACGAGATTTTAACAAGCTCGGAACTCTTTGTTCCCCTGCATTTCGGTGCTTTTATATTATATTTTGTTTCTAATATTTCTTGTTAGCGCTTACAAATAAAATATTTCATAAAGAGCGCCGCCCTCGAACAAGCGCCGCATCCGTAACACTAAAAATTTAAAGAGCGCCACGGCGCTTAAACGAGTAAATACGGTGGTCGATCTTAAAAAGCTCAACTTGATGATGGTGGAAAATAATATCTTGCTTTAGCACCTGATTTTTGTGAAACTCCTAGCCGAGTACGAAACGATAATAATGGATAAAATATGTGTGGTAATAAGAAAGGAAATAAAAAGTAATAAAAGAAACTAAATAAAAGAAACAATTCTGATTCTAATTCATGAAATAGGTGAAGTGCGAGTGAAAATGTAAAAGTGATTTTGGAGAAAGCAAGGCATAAGAGATAGCGTTCAACGATGAGAATACAGTATTTCTACCGGATGACTTAAAGGATGTATCAATGGACAGATGGGAAAGTCATAGTGGAGAACAGAATTATGAATTCAAGATGAAGCAAGTGCTTGGTGATTTGAAAGCGAAACCAGGGCGAAACCTAGTATTAGGATTAGAGCTGGAAGGGATTGGGTTTTCATAAACAGAAACAGTTTATCGAGATGGCGCAATAATTATTGAAAAGATTGTGGAAAAGAATGAATTGTCGGAGGAATCGGGTAATTATTTGAAACCATGCCCCCAGATTGACTGGTTTACCAAAGATTCACAAAGACGGGATGCCATTGAGAGGGGTAATTTCGACTGTGAGATCACAATTCGAAAGATTTCAAGATTCCTTATACCGATTTTAAGGACAATACAAGGACGGAGTGCATGCCTTTTTGTAAGGCATTCGAGAGAATTAAAAGAACGGAATAAAGTTCTCGTTCGCTATAATGTGAAAAACCTTTACCCATCAATTTCAACTAAATAAAACTTGGAGAGAGATTATTGAGAGAGAATAAAACACTGGGGAAAGTAAAATAGTTAAGCGTAATTGATTCGATCATGGAGTTGCTAAAGTGGATGTTTAACTTAACATACTGACATTACTGTGAATATAATGGAAAGCATTACATCCTGGAAAGTGGTTGCGATCATTTACATGGAAGAGTTTCAGATTCGAGCAATGAATATCTCAATATGCCAAATATGGGATACAGTGGATCAAATGTTCATTGTTCGATGGTCAATTGCCATCTTGTATCCGCGTGAAAAATATTTTTCCGGATAGGCGTTTTCCGCAAAGGCTGTAAAACATTTTCCTGTAAAGGCTGTCAAATATTTTATTTTCGTTCCTTCCTATCCAATTCATGTTTTTTCGACTTGGATAAGACAATTTACCGACTATCACCCCCCACTCCAGCGACGCCCCTGGTTATTGTAACATGTAAGCAAAGCGAAGCTCTGCCGCAAAACTAAATAGATTATATAAAAAACAGTACATTTCTAAAGCCAGTTTGAATAATGCAAATCATTAAAAATCTGCATAGCGACCTGTTGCTATGGTTAGCTCGCCACTGTTTTGCCCGCGGACGTGGATGCTCCAACACAACTGGCACGGGACCGGGAAAAGGTCATATTTTTTAATTTTTAGCCACATAAACCTCATGTATAGTGCAAGAACAAGCTTCGCATTTTGGAATTCGTGTTAATTGTATATACCGTGCAACGAGGTTTTACCACAGGACCTAGCTATGTGATCATTCATCATTGATGCTCAATTCTTGACTTGCAATGATGTGGGCGACGGCAGAGTCCCATTTCAAAAAAAGAATCTCATTAACTTCTTTTGAATTTGGCACCAACATGGCCGCCATGCCATTATCTCCTAATTCTCAAGGGGTTGATTGCAAGTCAAGAATGGTGGCTAATTCACGACGATTCGGTAGAGATAATTTTCATTCGAATTGCTCAGGGACAAGGTTTTGCTCTTTGCTTTCGCTATGGATTTACCATGTTCTGCATCGCATGTCAGAAAATGCACTATTTTGCGGTTATTGCTAGTATGATTTACTATAAGTTCCTATGTATTTTGAATGCCAGAAGGACTGTTACGCAATCGCGTATCGCTTATTTCTGGCCTGATGAGACTAGCAGTAAAACTGCCTCAAACTTCGCAAATATAACGAACTTTATACCTCTCTGACTCCGTATAATCCTGGAATTTTAATAATAATCTAAATTAAATATTATGAAAAAAGATGAAAGTTAAACACTTCAAGTAGCCCCTGGTATATACACATATTGGATTTGAGGTCGCCATCATTCAGGCTAATAATATGCAGCCCAGAAATCTATTGGTATTGCTCAATTGATATGATACAAAATTTTACAAATTAAATTTTTTTTAACAAATTTTAACTTCCAAGTCCAGTATTGCCGTTGGTGAGCTACTCTACACCAATGGTGCAAATACGAATAAATAAATAATATATTTGCATAGACTAGTCAATATAGACTATAGTCCAGAGCCAAGTCCAGTCCAGTCTTAGTCTTAGTATCGCTCTATAGTATTAGTCTTGAGTATCGCTCTATAGTATTAGTCTGAGTAGTCTCTACAGCCAACAATCATATATAGGCTATCTTTGTCTACAACATATTTAACTTAACTAGGCGAATTCCTTCCACTGCCGATATTATTTATGTCATATTCATATCGCTCCTTTAGTTGATCGGCCATGTCTGTAAGATCGTTTAATACTCGCGCAAATTGCTGTAACTGTTTTACAATTGGACAAACGCTGCTCGATTCGGCATCTGTGCTACGTCCTCCCCATATCATCTCGTCTCTTGTCTCAACTAGCATTGTATAAAACTTGAATAAGTCAATGTTATCTTGTAATATTTCTTGGTTGTCCTTGTTAACTTGAGCTCGCTCTAGCTGTACAGCCGGTATATCCATAAGCCGTCTTGGAACTAACACAGTCGAGTCCATTTCATCTACAGAATGTATGAACTGCCTCATAGCAGTTATCACAGAATTTTTACTGGATTCTTCAATCGCCATCTTCTAACTTTGATATCATCTACAGTGATCTGGTATATAGTGATTGAAAAGCAGTCTTTGTTTGTTAAGATTATCTAATGTTTTAACAAAGGTTGTTTTAACCTTATATATGCATGTTGCACTGCACGTGAAACACATGTATTCATGCGTGGCACGTGAACAACATGCAGCCTACGGCTCCTAATCATGTTTTACACGCACGCCATATAATTTGTGACTAATCACCGCTGTGTCTGTTGTAGAATATTTAATAAACCACCAATTTGTTTCAAACCCCCACTCTCTAAGTTTCATATGGCGGGTAAAGTATTACAATTTCAAATGGGCTAGTTTTTAGCCAAATTCTTATCCGTGCAGTTTCTGTGGCTCTGAAAAGGACATTTCAAAGTTCGCATATTAATTCCGTAATTAAGGTGTGAAATGTGGTCAGACTGACGTCATTGTTCAATTGCATGCACGATAGCCTAAGAACAATTCCGGACGCGAAGCCAATTGCCAGAAGAATCGAGTCGAATTAAGAGTCTTCTGCAGTGATTAAAGCGATGTTATAAGTTTTCAACGATGACGTACAATGCAAATGTGTTGGACGACATTTGATTGATTAGTTCAGTAGCACGTTATGTAACTTTATATGTTGACTGATCTGCAGTACACTAGAATATAAACAGTAACTGGCCAGCATGCAAGAGTAAAATCCCTAAAGCCGTAAAGGATTATTAACTCTGTAACCCAATTTCGAACTTCCATATTTCTGAATACGGCTGTGAAAATCATTAAATAACAATATTCTGTGTTAGTCAACGTTTATTCATAAGCTCTGGTCCTTCACCGTTACGTGTGTCAATCTCATGGACTGTTTTAAATACAAATTTCACTGATGTTGGGTTATAAAATGAAGCCGAATCCTTGTCAAATTCAAACATATATATGCCGGTAATCATGCACGGTGAAAAATTTATCTTCAAAATCTTTTCTGGATGACTAAGATTTAGATTTCATTTTAAAAATAAACATGCGTGCAGATGCACACAAACTGTGCAATGGCCAATGCCAATGGTTTATATTTTCCAGAGATAAGTCTGAATTGAACATTTACTGACAACCGGGCAGTGACAGTGTTGTTGCCGGAGAATGGTCCGTAATCAAACGAAGATAAGAGCTATGCCTATATATAGTATAGTTGCAACTCTCGTTCGAACTTATTTCACCACCAACTCTCATCGAATCTCGTGCACTCTTATCAACTCTCTTTTGATCTGAATCAAATTTGGAAGCTTTTTGATGAGGGTTTTTCTCCGCTCACCCGAACGAAGGTACGGTAATATTTGACGGTAAACCTCTCCTGCAAACTCTCGCTTGACAACTCTCATACTCAGTTTGATATTTCGAAAACGGATACAAATGTCTGCGTTCACACTGCAATGGGAAAACGATATGTTTTCCCGACCTAGGACAAATTGGAAAAAGGTAGTGTAGGGATGAGTGCAGAGAAAGAGCCAAACGTTTGTTTATCGAGGACCGGATCTCAAATCTTATAGTTAATCGTCGCCAGGTTGGCAGTGGAGAGGCCACAAAATACGCTGTTTTCCCGAGATCTCAATAAATAAGTGTTTTATTATATAGACAATATAGCAAGTGCCAAAGTCTCAATAATTCACCTGGTATTCCGAAACTCTAATAAAACAGACACTCTGAAAGTTTTGAAAAAACTTTGAACTTGCGGTTTTGTTATTGACCGGTTAAGAATTGCTTGCATGCAGGTTGTTGTCCGGTTGCCCGCTCACTAGCCTGCGAGCAGGCTCGCCGAAGCATGCAGCGGAACCTGACGTTTTGTGGACCGGCACCTGATACGGTTTTGTCCAATCGGCAAACGGGAAAATTTGAACTTTGACTTTGCAATGTCAGGATAACGTACGTATGGGCAACGCAGTATATAATTTGGTTGAACCCTCAATTCGGTTAGAGTGTCACTGAAAACCAAAACAACCCGTAATTTTCTCAGCCTAACTGACAACCACTCAAACTCACAAGCTTCATAATTTTTTTAACAGAAAGTAAGAAACACAGTTTAGGTCAGTTGCATTCTAATTGCTCTGAAGAAGGCTGCAGTTACCAGACGAAACGATTCAACATTTTAAAGAAATTTTAGCATTTTTAATTTAGTATGTTTTCAAATAAATTGTTCTGACAGATCAGTTTCAAACTACACCAAAAGGCCTTACAATATGATATCCACTGACGGCTATAGCAGTATATGCTCATTTAAAGAAGATACATTTGCAACATTAGGTATAATTATATTCTATACGAACGCCCATGGAGTTAATTGCTCCCTCGGAAAGCAAATTTTCCTAAGCCATGTTATGTATACACGAATGGATTGTGCATGGCAGACTCCGACGGCAGTTCTGCAGGAACTTTCGCTAAATGAGCAAATGAAAACATCAAAAGTATCGCAGAATTTAAACTTAAAGGAGGTTTAACCGGCGAGTTATCTTTAAGTTTTCGTTCCTGATTTTTAATAATTCTCAAATTAAAGACCCCAATGAAAGACACTGATTTCCGTGAGGAAGAAATGCAGTAAAAGATCTTGCAGAAAAACACGAATACTTATATAGAAGTCATTGATAATCTACACAATTATAGCAATTTATTTATTCATGCACACAATACATCCTGTTCCATTAATCTATAGAGTTCTTAGTTATGACAGTTATTTTCCAAAGCTTATTTTGTACTTAGCTACTTTTGCTCTAAATCCTTTGTTACTGGTCCTTGGGCTAGCAGTGAAAGCGAGATGCAAATAGCCATTCATGGATACCACGGATGATGGTCTCCAATAACCAGAAAATCGCGCCACCAATGATTGATCTTAAATAAGAAAAGACAAGCCTTAAACGATTGTCAGTACTTATTTACATAAACTGCCTCGAAAACGTATATGAAGTTCATCCCTGTTAATATTATGGCCTTCTTTTATTTGTCGATGAAAAAGTTCTTTTCGATAGAGTACCTGATCATTAATCACTTCAGCAGTTTAGATGGTAAAAAATATTTGCTCTTAAATTATTGTGACCTTATATATTGTTGTTCTTTTTGCTGTGCTGCATGTCGTTGTTGTTATAATTGCTGGGGCTATTAATTAATATACTTGCATATAAGATCTGCAACAACTTTTTAATTTCTGACACAAACACTGCTGTTTCTTGTTTTGTTGTAAAAATAAGTTTTATCTACTTACCATTGAAACGACTGACACTGTTGTAAACTTGCAAGAAATCAAAGGAAGGTTGTGTTCTGAATTCATCGAATTCCAAAGATATTTGTTCACCAGGGATAAGAACTTGCCATACACAGGTTATAGAATTTGGATAGTTGCTGGGGTAGGAAGGTGACTCAATGATGTCATTTAATGTTGTAATAATTCCACCGCATGCTGTAAAACAAGATTATATATCAAGAATCGAAAATTTCACGTGAAACGTTTTGTGTTTTAGGTGGGCAAACTAAGAAAAACATGGATTTAGTGAAGCAAAATAAATTATGCTTCTGAATTTTTTTGGGAAATATTTTCGCAACCCAAAGTCTTTCTCATTTTGATTATATGGCGGTTTCCCATTACGCGGTTATGCACTTTGCCCGCATGCCAGACCGTAATAGAAAACGCCCGTAGTGAAAATGCCCTTTACTTCGAAAACATACAGTAATAAACATTTATGTGAAATTTTCATTATGAATGACTGGTAACTTATATTTTAAACAACAATGAAAACACTGTCTATAAATTTCCCATCTAATTTGAAGTTCAATCAATAACTAGTTATTCTGAAAGTTATTTCAAATAGGGATAGATGCGGAGTATCGACATCTGCAATGTAGGATTCTTTGTACAGCTTGTCCTTTAAAGCAATGCTGATACTTACAGACTTGTTCATAAGTTGCTTCAAATCCAATACTCTCTCGATCGTTATCAGAAATAAATTTGATTTCCATCTCATTTGAAGATGACGTAAATACCATTTCATTGCGATTAATACCAGATAAAACTGTTATCAATGTTTGAGTTTTTGGATCTGAAACTATGACGTAATCATTCTTGTATTCTGTCTCTATAGACTTGAAACGAATGAGCACTTTCTTGTTTACTGGAACAGAAATCTTCCAGCGACAATATTGGTCTTTGCCATATAGGTTAGGATAGTTGGGAGATTTCAAGGAACCAGAAGGACCATGAAGTACACCTCCACATGAGGAGACTAAATAAAAATTGAAATTATTTTTGGTAATTACTGATAGTGCTCATCATTGAAGGGCTTTGGTGATAAATAATGTACTATTAAAAACATGAGCAGCAGTGTTTTATCAGACATAAAGATACGAGGCGAAACCGAGTATCTTTAGGTCTGATAAAACACGCACTGCGAATGTTTTAAATTGCTTTAAATTGCTGTTCATTGGCGAAGTAATTTTCAAAAAATAGGTTGTGTAAGTCGAGAAAATCAAAGTTAAAGTTTATGTAAATCAAGGGAAATCTCTATCACGTATAAAGATACGACACGCTTATGGTTTTTATTTGTGTTTTCCTCATGAATTATTGATGAGTTTTTGAAGTGTCTTTGACAATTGTGACAAGGCATTGATTTCGGCAGGATGGAGTTGTCTGATTATATATTCACTTCAGTTTCACTTTGAGTGCCAATTTCCTGCAGACCATTAACAGTAATAAGCGGCCCCAAAAAATATTCCAGGAAAGAATAAAGAAAACGGGTATGTGTATTAAAAATATTAAGTGAGAAATATGTTTGGTCTGGAAAATTTTTATAAAATTCTGGAAAATTTTATAGAGCCTCATTTTCATGATTGAGACGTCGGGCTTTAACTAATGTCACAGACGTGAAAAAGAGGCACTATAGCCAAAGTGACGTACTTTACAAAAGGATGTATTGTTAGCCACGTTCCTATAACTTGTTTTCTACGTGCATCATGCATGATGTATCATGATTATTTCATTCTTGATTTTCTGCTTTATCTTAAAAATTTCCTTTGAGAGCTAAAATCTTTCCTGGCGACATGACTACCAGACTAGCTTAAGCTCTGCCAAAATTAATTAAGGTATCTTACCATCACATTTCGGTGGAGAAGCTGACCAAATTCCATCTTGTTGACAGACTAATTTCGACACACCAATTAGTTTA